TCCTCGTCCCCCTCCTCCTTCCCCTCCTCCCCCTCCTCGTCCCCCTCCTCCTTCCCCTCCTCGTCCTCCTCACCCCTCCTCTTCAGCCTCCCTCGCCATGTGGGCGCGCATCGCGGCGTTTCAGCAGGGTAAGATGTTTGTAGAGCGATAGCATCGGCTGGTGAATGCAAGATTAGCACTTGTCTAGTGCTCGGGATTATCGCCCCCCCCTCCCCCGAACACTGGCAGCGCCCTCTTGTGTACCAGGCCGGCAATTTAATTGCGATCCTAGCAACGGCTTATTGAAACACGCCGAACAAAAAGACCCGGTTCGAATAATTGATTTTCGGATTCGAGTTTTCGGAGAGCCTGGCCGCCGGGCTTCTTCTTTCTGTGGCATCTCTCCACAAATTTCACCATCTCTCGCGAATTGCGGCAGCGCGAGAATTGTGGGTATAGCAGCGGGTTGTAATTGAATTGCGACCATCCTATACGGTCACCTTTAGTGCGCCATCCCTGTAATGGCGCTGCATTTTATCTTTTTGTAATAAGGTAGCGTCGAAATAATAACTCTTTTAACTAACTTTTTTTAAACTCTTTACTCGTAATGGCCTCGGGATGAAATGCAGCGAGGCCGATGCTCTAACATGACATTATTACCGTATTTACTCGTGTATAAGCCTCACCCCATATTTTGCCTTGAAAATTTGGTACAAACATTGTTACATTAACAAGATTTCTTAACCTCGTGTATAAGTCGCACCCCTGATTTCTTTTAAATATTAAAGTTGTGTACAAAAAAGTGCGGATTATACACGAGTCAATACGGTATCTCTCTATTCATGAGCGTATTGCGCAACCCATGACTCATCGCTGTAATCCTCAGGAATTTGATAAGAACCTACTATTACGTAAGTAGTTATTAGACGTGAGTCTGCGCGAAATTTACACAGATATTCAGGGCGCATTGCCAAATGTTTCGAGGCGCTGTACGTCTTAAGTCTCGAAGAAACATTCATCGCAAGCACTAGAGCCATATATAATCGCCAGCACTAGAGTAATCCCGACCACGAGATATGATCGCTAATCAGTGAAGCAAAGAGAAGCGGTGTGGGGTGGGAGGAGCAGCGGCTGACGGAATAGGAGAGGAAACCTGCTGGATGTAGATGAACGGGGCTGCACACGATGCGCAGTAGATGAGTACTGCACGATGAGAACGATGAGGAAAAAGCTGTACGATGTAGAGGAGCAGGGAAAGCTTTTTTTAGGGTAGAAGTTGGAGGGGGAGGTATCTAATGTAGGTGAGAAGAGGAAGCTGTATGTTATTGAAGAGATGAACTCGTCCGTTGTGTAGGGAGAGTGCACACCGTATGTTATAGAGTAAAAGCTGGGTGCCGTGGGGAGGCGGAGCAAAATATCTGATGTGGAGGAGGAAGGAAGGCCGTGCGCTGTCGAGGAAAAATAAAAGTTGTCTGCTGTGGAGGGAGAGGGAACATTACATGTTGTGGACGAAGAGAGAGAATGGACTGGCTATGAGAAAAAAGAAAAGCTCTCTGCTCTGGAGGGAGAGGGAGCATTATAATGCTGTGGAAGAAGAGAGTGTGAGAGAGAGGATTTCCTGGCTATATAGGGAGGAGACAAACGCTTGTTTGCCGTGGAAAGCGACGCTGTCGGTAGTTTAGAAGACGTGTTTTCTTAAGTCGGTGTGTAGTAACAGCGCGGGAACTGTCAAGCGTGACAGGTTCTCCCGCACTCCCGCTGCGATGCCACGTAGAGCTCTCTCAGCAGGCGGATTATTACTGATGTTATCGGTTTGGAGTCGTATAATAAAGGAAAGCAGGGTTAAGCGTCCTTGTTGTATTCGCCAGTTTCCTACGCTGTCAATGTTAGTATATTTATAAATATTTTTAGGCTTTTTACGATATTCTTTTATTCTTGTCTAATCGCATGCGTAGAAGGACCAGTTGTAAACGATGTAGCCATATGAGAAATGAGCCTCTCTTAACACGACGTCGGGGACGGTTGGCTGAACATGACAGCCTGAGTGCCTGACTCGTGGTTGCTGTGTTGTGTGGGTGAGTAAGCTACAGTCCGTACACCGTAATTGTACAGCGCGTTCCGCGAGCATTGTTTACGGAAAGGAGAGAAGAAATAGGGATTAACCCCCTTCTACGAAGAATTAAGCCGCGATGTTTGAAGTTCAACAGTGCATGTGATTGCTGATCGCCGGTGCTGGATTAAAGTCCGCGGATCCCTGCCATAATTACCCCCCCCCCCTCCCTCCGCCCCTAGCAACGTCGGCGCGGTCCGTGTGTAGTCGGCGCGGCGCTTGTGTATAGTATTAATCACAGCGCGCGGGCAGAAAGCCGACAGTGGTATACTATAAGCGACATCCTTGTCGGTGCGTGCGCGGGCGAACAGCAGGCGGGCGGCAGCGGCAACGTCGGCGCGGTCCGTGTGTATAGTAATAGTCACAGCGCACGGGCAGAAAGCCGACAGAGTGGTAAGCGTCATCCTTGTCGGTGCGAGCGCGGGTGGACGGTAGGCGGGTGTTGCTAGAACACGGGCGTCGAAGGAGGGTGCCGTTACGTGGCAGCACTATAGTCACTTCGTACGCTTCAAAGTCCAAATCTTCCACAGAAAGATTCCACAATCTTCCACTTATTTCCCTAACCCTAACCCTAATCCTAACCCTAACCCTAACCCTAACCCTAACCCAAATCCTAACACAAGTGCAGCCACATCACGTGACCCTCCTTCGACGCCCGTGTTCTAGCAAATCCCACGGTAGGCAGGCAGCAGCGGCAACGGCGGGCCGTGTCGGCGGCTACATATACAGCGCACCGCCGCGGCATGTATCCACCACCGCGGCGTGTACACAGACCATACGACAGGTGTTGCAGGCATCTCGCGCGCGCGCTCTCTCTCAGACACACAGACACGCGCGCGCGCAGCGGCAAATGGCAAATATCACTTCGTTGAGCCATAGCCATGTACCCTCTCAGAGTCTGTCCTTCCCTCCCCCTCTCTCTTTCACTCTTTCTCCCTCTCTCCCTCCCCCCTCTCCCTCTCTCCTACACTCTCTTCCTCTCTCGCTCGCACGCTTGCTCACTCGGTCTCGCTTTGTGTGTGCGTGCGTGTATGCGTGCGTGCGCGCGTGTGTGTGATCATACTTCGCACCCGCTGTTATAGCCCCGCGTCGCAATAATAAGAACTCTTTGCGTTTATAACTCGCATCATGCAAAAGGTGCTGTTTGTACAAGCGATTGATTCGGCGGCGGTCTAGCCGCGTATGTTGTATAAATATTATACTGTGTTTGCGCGGCTGCCTGCGGGGGCGGTGGGCACGAATGAGACACGGATACGGCTGACTACGGAGTCTGGGTGATGCCCACGACGGAGGGAGACGCGGGGGTGGATGCTGCTACTACTCGCCTGCCCTGACGAACCTCGTGTCGGTTGACAAGTGTCGGAATTAGATTGATTTTAGAATTTTTCTTTTCGCACCTCCGCGCGGTGCGGAGATTGGTGTGTGTGTAATTGTGACATTGCGTTCGTGTTTGTTCGATTTTAGTCTTTTATGCCTCGGTAGGAAAGGTGGGAGTGAAACAGTTGTTGTTAGTCATACTCGGGCAACAGAGGATGAGATGGAAATCACAGTGTTTAACGAGCGTAGGCAGCGACGTAACATTTTTTCTCCCGGAGAAACGGGAATACCATGTAAGTGACTGCAATTGTTGGACGAACGCGTAGCTGCTTGTTCGATTGCTGGCCTAGCGTAACCAACAGGTCAGAAAGCGGTTGAAATTTTTTAAGCGGTTGGAATTTTTTTAATGCGGCACGCTTCGATATCAGTCTTTCCATCGAACAACGTGACATGTAATTGAATTCTCCGCCGCGGCAGGTGGTGGGGACCCGTCCTGGGTTGTGGATGCTGCGGTGATGCTTGACCCATGACTGTATATGCTGCGTTCAGATGTAAATGTTGACATTTCGACTAATTAATCGTGACGTAGTGCCTTCTGGCAGGTGGTGCTGGGGGTGAAATATACATGAGCTCAGTGTGACTAGCCGTGTTCATTATTAACGCATACGTAGAGACAGACTCGACCAGCCTGGAATACATGCATACAGCGAACGCGTTTTACTGATTGTAATGGCAAGAACGGGAGAGAGCGAGCGAGAGAAAGAGACAGACAGAGAGACAGAGACAGAGACAGAGACAGACAGACAGACAGAGACAGACAGACAGAGAGAGAGAGAGACAGAGACAGAGACAGAGACAGAGACAGAGACAACAAACAGAGACAGAGACAACAAACAGAGACAGAGACAGAGACAGAGACAGAGACAGAGACAGAGACAGAGACAGAGACAGAGACAGAGACAGAGACAGAGACAGAGAGAGAGAGAGAGAGAGAGAG